CCTCCCCTCAAGGTTTTAAAATGCGATATTGTCTTTTCTAGGCTTTTCCTTAAATGGTTCCCCTCAAGGTTTTAAAACGCGTCTACTAGGGAGAAGTTTCCATACCCGTATAAGGAATGTTTCGTTCTTCTCTCCAACCGATGTGGGATATCACAATCCACCCCGTTGAGGGCCCAACGTCCTCACTAGCACACTGCCTGGTGCCTAACTTTGATACCATTTGCAACAGCCCAAACCCACCGCTAACAGATATTGTCTACTTTAGCCTATTATGTATTGCCGTTAGCCTCACAGTTTTAAAACCCGTCTGTTAGGTAGAGGTTTCCACACCCTTAAGGAATGCTTCGTTCCCCTCTTTAACTGACGTGGGGTCTCACAATAGTTTATAGCCATTATGCTAAGTGGTCTATTCTTTACACGTCCTTTTCCTTCTTCGTGGTTCAAATCACATTAACGCTTGCTGCCGAATTCCATAACACCAGATTGTGCATTGGAAAAATCACTTAAAATTCCCTGATGAGTCAAGATTATCACCTGAAGCAAAAGACATGATAAGTAGGCTGCTCTGCAATGCTGAGCATAGGCTTGGTACTGGAGGCGCAGAACAAATCAAGGCCAGTCTATAGTACTTTTCCTCAAACAAGATATATGCTGATGCTCTATTCTTAATATTTTATGTATTGACAAACAAACCATTTAGGCACATCCTTGGTTTAAACATACCGAGTGGGACAAACTCTGTGACATCGATGCAGCATTTAAGCCCGAGGTCAACGACGAACTCGATATGCAGAATTTTATGCAGTTTGATGAGGTGAGGTCAAGATAATCTTCATTTCTTTAAGCCTCTCGACACGAATCCTCACCAAGTTTTCTGGATCCTGACAAGGGTGCTGCTGTGTCGTAGGTCAATCCACCGCCAACTAGAACCGGATCTGGACCAATAAGGAAGGTAGATAGTTCATTTTCAATTGCTGTGGTTTATGTTAAGGTGTTTTGGTAAAATCATAAAATCTATTTGGTATCTTATTGTCTCCACTGACTTGTTATTAGATGTTGTTGACTCCCAAAGATCTCAGTTTTGTTGGTTATACATACAAAAATTTTGAAGCTGTCAAAGGGCTACACCATTCATTTGGTAAGAGTTTTATGTCTTTCTTGATTTTCTCCCCCACCCCTGAAGATAATGAAGATAACACGAGTACTGTGAGATCCCACATCGGTTGGAGAGAGGAACAAAGCATTCCTTATAAGGGTGTGGAAAATTTCTCTCTAGTAGACACATTTTAAAACCTTGAGGGGAAGCCCTTTATGGGAAACCCAAAGAGGACAATATTGATTAGTGGTGGGCTTGGGCTGTTACAAAGAGTATCATAGACAGACACTGGGTGGTGTGCGAGCGAGGATGTTGGGCCCCCAATGGAGGGTGGATTGTGAGATCTCACATCGGTTAAAGAAGGGAATGAAGCATTCCTTATAAGGGTGTAGAAACTTCTCCCTAATAGTCGCGTTTTAAAACCTTGAGGGGAAAGTTCTTTAGGGGAAGGTACAAAGAGGGCAATATCTACTAGTGGTGAACTTGAGTTGTTACAAATGGTATCAGAGCCATATATTGGGCAGTATGCCAGCGAGGACGCTGACCCTCAATGGGGTAGATTGTGAGATCTTACGTCGGTTGGAGAGGGAAACAAAACATTTCTTATAAAGGTGTGGAAACTTCTCCCTATTAGACGCACTTTAAAACCTTTAGGGGAAGTCCTTTAAGAAAAAACTCAAAAAGAACCATATCTGCTAGTGGTGGACTTGGATTGTTACATGTAACAACCTGTTCTATGTGATGAATAACATATGCTGTACAGTCATTGAAACATGAGGCTAAAGCTTAAATGTTTTGATGCTCACAAAAAATGAAACTTGCATACTTGGAAAGAACTGGAGTCTCTGTAGCATAGTGACAGACTCATATATGAAAATATAACTATGCACATGCTTATCTGTATAATTTGATGTTTCCTATGATGATGGTTTGTGTTGAACAAAACATGCCATGACCTTTCTGACATTCTTGTCTGTCCAATTCCTCACATCTCAGATTTGAAGTCGAGCACCACCCCAACTCGGACTTCGTCTGTTGACTCTACTAAAAGTAAGAGATTCAAGGGAACTATACTTATCGATTTCGAGTTTTGTGACAAGCTTCTTAGGACATCTTGTACAGGTGACTCGGCATTGATCAGCTACTCAACAGAGGACAGGGAAGCCATATTGGCACCATCAGGGGATGCTTTGTCACAGTAAAAATGTCAAAGAGGCCTGGTGGTGGTTCCTGTGGGCAAAGGAATTTGTAAGTTTCTGAGGCAGTTCTTGGGCCCTTCTTTTTTCTGACCTCCTTTAGTGTATTGCTGCATTGCCAATCCATAAAGCTATGCTATGTGGAAATGAGACACATACTTTTGTTGTCTCAAACATCATTTTCATTTATCACAAGTTGTTCACAAAATGAAGTGAGAAACTTGAATGTATAGTACTTTTGTTCCTAATGTATTTCAACGTTCGTGAGCGTTAGAGAAAAGACGATACAAAGAGATTACGTGACAGCCCATGCTCATTGCTAATAGATATTGTCCGTTTTAATCTGTTATGTATCGTCGTCAGCCTCACAGTTTTAAAATGCGTCTGTTAGGGAGAGGTTTCCACCCCCTTGTAAGAAATATTTCGTTCCCCTCTCCAACTAATGTGAGATCTCACAATCCACTCCCCTCACATTGCTCGGTGTCTAGCTCTGTCATCATTTGTAATAGAACAAGCCCATCACTAATAGATATTGTTCGTTTTGGTCTATTATATATCACTGTCAGCCTCACGGTTTTAAAATGCGTCTGTTGGGGAGGAGTTTCCACACCCTTAAAGGAAAGATTTGTTCTCATTTCCAACTAATGTGAGACTTCACAATCCACCTCCTGGGGCCCAACGCCCTTGCTAGCACATTGCACGGTGTCTGGATCTCATATCATTTATAATAATCCAAGCCTACAGCTAATAGATATTGTCCGGGCTCGTTACATAACGCCATTAGCCTCACTGTTTAGAGAGATGTTTCTTTACTCTTATAAAGAATGTTTAGTTCTCCTCTCCAACGGGTATGGAATCTCACAGATTAACGATATATCAATAGAATAATAACGAAATAGTCATATTCATTATATTTTGGCTCGAACATAACTCAATAAGGCATTGATGTCTCTCGTCTATACTATGAGTTCACATTTTTTTTTCCTCTTGCACATATATAACGTCAAATGTTAAAGGACGAATTAGACGAGAGATAAAAGATTGAAGGACTTTGTAAAAAGAAAAAACGAAACTACAAAAGCAAAAAAGACTTAAATAATGAATCGTTTAGTTTAAGATTTTGTTTAAAATGTACGCGAATCAATTAATTATATTTTAAAATTATAATGTATTAACGAGAGTGATTAGTTATAATTATTATAAATCAACTTTTTACTATTCATTATAGGCGAATTAATTGATTACTTTATTAAATAAGTAATTCATTCATTTAATAAACTATTTTGTTATAAACATGAATTAAATATATATATATATATATATATATATATAAATAAAATATTATTAATTTATTCTAATTAATTATATTATTTTTGGTAAACTAAGATCTAGTTATTCAGTAAAAGTTTTTTTTTTTTTTTTTTTTTTTTTTTTTTTTTTTTTTTTTTTTTTTTTTTTTT